CCACCAACGGCGCGCAACGCGCCATTATAATTCGCCTCTCGATAAACAGAGCATAGCATGTGATCTACTTTATTTCCCTTTTGCGCGCTTGTTTACGCGTTTGCGCGCCACCCATTTGAGAAATCGGGCCGCCATACTTCGAGGATCCGTGAAGGCTGCACGGCACGCCACATCTGGGCGAAGTTCTTATCCAAATAAAAATTTCAAACGACTCTTTTGTCCCGTCACTCGTCAAAATAAGAATGAAAATTTTAATTACAAGTTTAATGCTTCGATTCTGGTGTGACTCGTCTTCGTCCTAAAGAAATAGAGGAGAATATTACAATATTAGTGTAAATAATTGGTCTGGACGTAACTGATCTCGCTGTGCATCGGTTGGGAAAATTGAATCCTCTTTCTTCTGTAACGAATACCCTCGCGTAGACTTTCATTGGAAAGTTTGGAGCACCTTCGAACGTAGAGCCAATAAACGTAATAACGTTACGTCGTTTTAATTGGCCCGTAAAATAAACATTTTTTGTTTAATTTAGCTGCCATTGAAGCATTTACGCGAAGTCGATAGGGTTCTGAGTAGCTTGTAATCAGTGATGGAAATAATACCGTAAAAATAGTGTCAATACCAGAGACTAAAGTATCGTTTCATATTAAACTTTTTTAATTACACGGGTATCAAACAGGATCGATACCTGCGTGATATCTATGCGAAAGTATAGATACGTATCAATTACAGAGTAAATTATATGGTATCGATACTGTGACGATACTACTCACTGGTTGCTCGTGCTACTATTTCTATATTTGCATTTCTAAAGTACTAAAAAAAAGATAGGATAAATCTGAAATTTCGTGTTTGATCAAGTATCGTTACGGTTACAGTGTATTGTGAAAGTCGTGGGAAAGCTAATAAATCATCACTGTTCCAAAAAGACGAATTAAAAAATTACAGAAAAATATTGACGCAGTTAAGTTGGAGTAATATTTTCGAACAGTTGAAAAAATGACACACATAAATGAACGATAGTGTTGCGATGGAAATCGTTACAGAGATTAGAGCGATTTTTGTAATAAGAAAACTGCTTGAAAGAAGACTAAGATTGATAGGATGAAAATCGTCGTGTAGTCGGGAATAGAGCGATTCATCTATCGAAGCCAAGTCGTTTTTTCACTCTTTGCAATCAGAGGCTGGAATAATCTTTGCAGCATACTTTCACCAGCAGCGCCTTTCATATGATTTTAGATTGCAGTTCGCGACTTATAATACCTGGTGATACATACTAGGTTATGAACACGAAAGGAACAGATACATTTCCTGCGACTACAAGAACAATTTTTTGTGCTCTGATTTTAATAATGCACCACTCTAATATCCAGAGAGTAAATTAGTCCTTCGAAGCATTATATTTGATTGTTCGTAACAATTATTATATATCTAACGCTCGTACTCTGGGAGTCTATTGTTAAGCTCCTAATGAAACGCAAAGGAGTTAAATAAACCTCTTTCAACGCGTCACTGTGCTGTTTCCTTTGTATTCTGTTTAAAAAAAACGCACCATTTTCTTATTCCATGATCTAAATACATATTTAAGAGCATGTTTCGAAAGTATTCGGTCGAACTTGGCTGCAACGAGCGTGAATATGGCAAGATCACAACTGTGACGCGTAAAAAAGACATAATGATTTTAATTTACGTCTATTTCCGTACAATTATTCGCTCGATGCATACACGACGTACGAATATTGGGAAAGTCGAGAAACATTAAAGTGAAATCGTCGAAACTAACATGAATTTTAATATTCTAATTAAAATCGTGTCTAGTGGTAATCAGGATGGTTTCTAATAGCAGACGTATAATATTAAACACGATTTATACATCGATCATTTAAAAATCGCTAATAGTAAACGAATTACATTAATTGAAATATTTAGATATGTAGTAATAATAGAATTGCTATTTTTTTTATAATTTATGGTCCTTGTGAAATGCTATGTACATTACTCCGTTTATTCCCGTTGTTTCCATTTTCATTTATCCCACGCATTCATGCTTCATATCTTATTACAGGTACGCAAATGTATTACTTTTTCTCTGTTGCATATTTTTTTTGTTCCTAACAAAAACTTCGCTTTTTACGTTTGCATTGTCATATTACTTTCTCAAATAATATTATACAAAGTTTAGAGATTTCAATCTTCATGTAGATTATATATATTCAAAAACCATTTTTAGACGTAACAAAGTATGTGACGAATATTTGAAATATATAATTATTTTTTAAATTTATAGTTATGTTTTTATATAAAAAAATCTGTTGAGGTCCGTTCGCTGACGTTCCAGCGAGCTCGAGAGCGCGGGTCAGAAGCGACCCCCCGTCGTCCCGTTAATCGTTTCGAGCGATTTCGCGGCGCGAATTACGCCGACGCGGGGCCAGTAATCCGTAACGGAATGTGCACATCGCGTACTGCGAATCGATCGCGACCAATTAAAAAGTGCAAGCTAACTGCAACCAGTGTCGCGTATTACACGATGCGTTACGCGAACAACGGAGATAGCAGAAACGCGCCTTTCGCAATATTCGCGCGGGCGAAAGTTGTTTCGTTAATTTCCGGAGCGACGGAACGCTATTATTATTTTTTTTTTTCCTCCCTCCCCCCTCTCGTGGTACGACGAGTTTCCCATCGACGGATCACGATACGCTGATTCCCAATCGAATCATCGCGCGTCGCCCTGTCGGTGGAAATTCAACGAAATTGACTAAATATTCGCTTCTAACAATCGAGTCGCGAGGGAGCGGTTCCGTGAATGGCGAGTATAACTGGCGTATCTACCGGAAGTCCGGCCTACGGGTTCCGGCCCGTGGCACGCTCATCTCGTTGTCTCTCGTGTATTTTTTTTACCACCCCCCCCCACTCTCCACTGTTTCTCTCTTTTTCTTCCCGCGTGCACATTGTTCAACGACGAATGCCATCGCTTGTTGACCGAAAAAAGCCACGGGGTCGTCGACGGTGGCGAGAAGTTGACGCAGCTGCAGGAGTCGCAGGTGTAACTGGATTAGATTATTTGTCAACGCAGTGTCGTTTGTTTTAGACGACCCACGGTGTTCGAAAACAGCGATTTAAACGCGAAAAAGTCCCATTTTTTTTTACCATCTCTAGTCATTTTACCTTTAGGTGGTTGTAAATCCTTGAGGGTCTTCGTTTGAAACATTATTTGCCCCTAGAAATTGTTCAAATGGGTTAATTTTTACTCAGGAACTCGACGTTTCTATTCTTATTGGAAATCTGTTTTTGCAGTTCATATTTCTCCTGATTTCATTTTGTACTGTATGAATCTTGCACAGGAAGGTACACACTTCATTTTAAAATAAAAATAATTGATCGAAATTTGTTATAATTTTAAATACAAGCAATGAACCAATTTTTAGCATGCAGTTATCGTAAGTTTTTGGAATAGAAGTTATCAGATTGATGCGTATTGGTCAAAATTCCACCACTTTAAAGTTATCTTATTCTTATTATTCCCATTTTCTATTATTTTCTTCATCATTTACATTCATTATATAATTCAAATTGTTATGCAGCAGTGAAGCTTTTATAATAAATACATTACTTTTTTTTCTTCAATTAAATAATTTAATTTTCATTTAACTCCGTTTCTACTATCCAGTTTTATTATTTTGCAATTTCATTAAGTTTCGTAACTAAAAGTATCTGATATTTCTGAATTTTTTTTCGGAGAAACTATTAATAATTTTGATTAAATTTTTGTTTGAAACTAAAAGGAGACATCTTTAAGAGAGAAATTATTTTAAAAAAATAAAAAGACAACTATAAAATAGTAATATTTGACGGTGTCTTTAAAGAACGAGAGTCTCAAGGAAATATCTCGAGTCTTCAAAGGCACCGCCAAAGCATTTGGTAGTAAGGTATTTTTTTTTTTTGAATTCGATAAAAAATTACAGTTTGGGCCCCTGTATTTCGAAAGCACCGCCGAGTTTATTATTTTTGTACACAGAGTTTGTGGGACGCGCTGTACACACGTATCTAGTTTCACTCTTTTTTCTATGGGTGCTTTAGACCTTACAAAACGAGATATCGTATTCCTCGAAGCAAGTATGTTGCATGGGAAACACCGTAGAGGTAAAAAATTTCCTTCGAGACGCGGTTGAAATTTTAATCCAGGCGATTTTAGCTATCCTGTTTATTTATTTACGCCTCTGCCCTGCATTGATTAAAATTAATATACAATTAGCCATTGTGTTGTTACACTCCCACACGGTTCATCCTTGAACACGGCAAGAGAATCATTACAGGAGATCGCTACAATACTCGTTTGCAAGGTTGCATATTTATATTATCAGATTACTGCGTACGAACGTTGATTCTATAAATTGTAACACGCCGCGCGGATCGAAAATACAATGCTCCAGAAGACTACAAAATAATACCTGTTCATACTTGACAAGAGATAATGAAACATGTTTCTCCAAACAATTGCGTTTGGCACACAAAGAGCATCCGGTATGCAATCACGTTTTCGAGTACGATTTTTCTTTTTTTTTTGTTCATTTTCTGCGCGGAAATCGCATGATATCGATAATCTAATCGATGCAGCTGCTACCTGCGCTTGCATTTTCTGGTGCGCGATAACCTTTCACCTTTCGCGGCACACGAAGCCCGATGGTGCCCATTTTAACCTTAAAAGTAAAGGAATTTTTTAACGCTCGTGGACACGATCGACGTTATTCGATGTTTCTGATTTATTTAGCAAACTTCGATCATTCATTGTTTCATCTCTACACACAATTTAATATTGATTTACTGGGAAATGATCGTAGGAAAAGATGTCACCCTACGTTCGTGAATAATTTGATTCTAATGACTACCTACTCGGCTGTATCTCTTATTGCAGGACATCCTGTAATTACCCACCTCGCTATTTGTTACGGGAAAACCGTGAAACTCCAAACACTAATTGCTCTTTGCATTTTTCTCTTTGCAGGTCGACTACCCGGAAGTGCATGGAGGAAGGATGCATCGGCCACCGCACCCTCATCCAATAACCGACCATCGACAGGTCAACTTGGTCTTCGATGACACGGTAAACATCTGTTTTCGAATTCTCCTTTCGCAGGTAGAAACGACCGGACTTTCAATGTCCGGGCACATTTTTGGAAAGCACTCGCCGCGACGAACCTTTTTCGACTTGAATTCTTCCACTTGTACGACCCCATAAGCATCTTTATTTTCAAGTTATTTTGAAATAGTAACGCTCTATATAAAGATTCTTTAACGAATGAATGAGCCCGAACGACGCGGTGCTTCGTCACTGATACGTTCGTATATTGAAAAATATGGATTTCACATTTTCAGAAGTAATATCCATACATCACTGTCGGTGAAATAACACGGGAAAACTGTTAGCGAAATAGAGTCAACTCGACCAAGAGTCATGCACATATAAAACGTGCGTAGAATTTTGATTCGAAAATCACAAAAATCTCTCGAGACTTTGCGTCGAGGTTTTCGTAAATAATTTTAAGGGTTGAATTATACTCGTTTATACAAGCTAATATTTAAATTGATTTACCATCGAAAATATTTTAGGAAGACACTGGGTTGGACTTTCGAATTTTGCTACGAAGCTGCATCGATATTATATATAATATAATAATTATACCCGTCGTTAGCGAGCAGATTGTTCTTCCGTTGATCATCTTGCTTGCGTCATCGAGCTTGTCGTTAGAAGAAAGTTTATAACATCGTCGATCCGTGACGTACACGCGGGACGCCCACGTGTTTTCACCAATCGGCGACCGTAGAAAGGGAGAAAGAGGCTCGTAAATGCAAGGAGTTGCAAAAGTTTTAAAGCAGACTTTTTCCACGTTGCACTTTCTCATGCATTTCAAATGCGCCGCCGCCGTTCCGCGCGAAGAGAAGTTTTATCAGTCCGTGAATTTTCTTATTTGCATCGCCGCGTACGCACGGAAAATTTCCTGGTTTGGAGAGTAAATAGCAATCGTCGTGGAGCGAGAAAAGATTTTTCCTTCGCCTGGAAAGTGGAACACACCGGATCGCGACTCGCGTGCCTGTATCGCCGGAGAAAATTGTTTTTTTGTTTTTTTCGCCGGTCGTTTTTCCTTAACCTGTTTAGCGCCGGTGCCCCAGTTTATCGTCAATAAAGTTTATTCAAGCGACCGGTGGTTTTTGAAATATCCAGAAAGGTTGCATCCTTCGATAGGACTCATTTTTTCAATATTTTTTGTTTTAACGGTATAAAGCAATTAGTGTCACGCACACGTGACGTTGGACTCGTAAGAAATCGAAGCGTCACGCATAGATACGTGACACGATAGCAAATGTGTTCAAATTCGAAACGCAAGTTTTAATTTTTCATAAAATAATACGAGCTATTTGATTCCTGCGAAATTTCAAAAGCTCTAAAAAAGTATCTTTAACATCCTAAGTTTATTTTTGCAAAACGAAGTACCCCAAATTCGTTAATATTTCTGTTAATGTAATGAAGTGTCTTCTTTCGATTATTGCATTTTTTGAAGTCTCTGAGGAGTGAGAAATTCGAAACGTAACTTTGAATTCAAACTACTTGATTCCTGCGAAATTTCAACAATTGAGAAAAAGGTATCTCTAACATTCTCAATTTATTTTTGTAAAACAAAGTTCCCTGAATTCGTAAATATTTCTGTTAACGTAATGAAATGTTTTCTTTCGATTATTGCATTTTTTTTAAGTCTCTGAGGAGTTGGAAATTTGAAACGTAACTGAATTTTTAAAAAATAATACAAAATATTTGACTCCTGTGAAATTCCAAAAACTGAAACGAAGTATCTCTAACATTCTGAATTTATTTTTGCAAAACGAAGTACCCCAAATTCGTAAATATTTCTGTTAATGTAATGAAGTGTCTTCTTTCGATTATTGCATTTTTTGAAGTCTCTGAGGAGTGGGAAATTCGAAACGTAACTTTGAATTCAAACTACTTGATTCCTGCGAAATTTCAACAATTGAGAAAAAGGTATCTCTAACATTCTCAATTTATTTTTGTAAAACAAAGTTCCCTGAATTCGTAAATATTTCTGTTAACGTAATGAAATGTTTTCTTTCGAATAATTGCATTTTTTTTAAGTCTCTGAGGAGTGGGAAATTCGAAACGTAACTTTGAATTCAAACTATTTGACTCCTACGAAATTCTAAAAAGTGAAAAAAAGCATTTCTAAGATCCTAAATTTATTTTTGCAAACTGAAGTACCCCAAATTCGTAAAAATTCCCATTGACGTAATGAAGTGTCTTCTTACGAATAATTGCATTTTTTTAAGTCTCTGGGGAGCGGGAAATTCGAAACGTAACTTTGAATTCAAACTATTTGACTCTTGCGAAATTCCAAAAACTGAAAAAAAGTATCTCTAACATTCTCAATTTATTTTTGCAAAACGAAGTACCCCAAATTCGTGAATATTCTCATTGGCGTAATGAAGTGTCTTGTTTCGATTATTGCAGTTTTTGAAATCTCTTGAGGAGTGGGAAATTCGAAATGTAACTGAATTTTTTAAAAATAATACAAACTATTTGACTTCTGCGAAATTCCAAAAACTGAAACGAAGTATCTCTAACATTCTGAATTTATTTTTGTAAAACGAAGTACCCCAAATTCGTAAAAATTCCCATTGACGTAATGAAGTGTCTTCTTTCGAATAATTGCATTTTTTGAAGTCTCTGGGGAGCGGGAAATTCGAAACGTAACTTTGAATTCAAACTATTTGACTCCTGCGAAATTCCAAAAACTGTAAAAAAGGTATCTCTAACATTCTGACTTTATTTTTGCAAAACGAAGTACCCCAAATTCGTGAATATTCCCATTGGCGTAATGAAGTGTCTTGTTTCGATTATTGCATTTTTTGAAATCTCTTGGGGCTGGCCTATAATGTGGCGTGGCTGGCAAGTAAGATGATCTACATTAGCGTCTCCCCTAAAGAGTCTGAGGAATGCGCATTGGTCGCATGCACTGGTATGCCACTGTCTCTTGGCCGAGTAGGAAGAAACTGAATGGGAGAGGCAATTTGGAAAGTCTGTGGAGCAGGGCAAAAGGAAAAGTGAGACACGGGCACGACATAACGGGTCGTATAAATCATCCGTCGGGTCGGCCAGTGGCCTTTGAGCAGTTACTATCCGCTGTTGGATGCTTTGAACAGACCGGTACTCTCTTCTCCGTGCATTCTCCTTCTCTCTCGATCGTTTACCGACTGACGATTGACCGACCGTCGACTCCTTAAGCTTGATTCACACGATCGGCCTTTACCTTTACGCCTCGACGTTGCAACAAGACTGGTCGCCCAGGATCGTGTTCAGCCGCGATTAGACGTATTTTACATAACGTTGCAAACCGACTGCAGTCACAGCTGATGAATTACTGATCGATGCAACGATCGACTGGTTGTCCTTGTTGATGTTCGATAAATATTCATAGGAAATTTTCATCCAACAGTGACGTATACAACTTATCTCTTCATCTTCTATCAAAAGGTCCAAAGTTGTTGTGGCAACAATTTTTATCAAATACCGTAGCAAAAAATATAAAAGACTTTCGGTCAAAAACGAGCATATTACCTGGAAGGGAAGTGACTCACCTTAGAAATGTTCGGTTTATGGATTGCCTCATAAATCAGTAAAATTTGGGGAGGCCTATTAACGACAAAAGCGTCACAGATGTAGTAGCTGTGTAAACAACATATTTCGCTTGAAAATTGTCATAACTTAAGAGGGGGTAACTTCGATGGGGGTGGAGCAGGTAATTATTTTACTTTGACAAGAGCTGTATTACTTTAATGAAAAATTGCAAATTTCCTTTCGCCTCTCCCGTAAAGGCTTTTCATTAGTCGACATACATTTATGTTATGCATTTAAAATGGAAATTTACATAGGAAATTAACCAGAAGGTTTAAGTTGATAACAGTTCTGCTAGTGTTGCGAAACGTCTGGCTGGGCGTAACATCACGCGCGATAACTGGTTTTTTCTCTATTTCATTAGTTGTTGACCTTCTCAAAAATTATAAATTAATTCTAATCGACGCGACGAGACAAAATAAACCTGAAATTCTTGGATCTGAACAAGATTCTTTGTTGTTTATCGAAGAAAAATAAGGATATTCTCGTATCAACATTTCATAAGGACGATAAGATAGATTCTGAAACTAGAGGAGCACTTAAACCGGAAGTTGCGTTTCTATAACGTTACAAAGCGTTTGTACAGTTAATTAATTGAAAAATCTCTATTCTGTAGAAGATTAAATATAGCTAGACACTGATAGTCTTTTTATTTGTACTTTGAATTATTGAAAAAATTACAACTCTATCGAATCGCGTTGTACATATTTAAAGACTTTGGCAATGTAGCTAAATAATTATACTTGACGTGTTAAATGTACACTATGATTAGCTCGTTTGCTCCGTAAACTTAACACTATTTGAAAGACCATTGCAAGAAACGAATACACCCGAGGCAAGGCCATAGTGCAATTATTGACTAACAAGAAAAATAAGAAAAAACAGGTTCAAACGTGATTTGTAAAAAACATGGGAGCAATTGACTATTAATGAGACGCAAATGGGTTGAGCCGAAAAATTTCTTCGGAGACATATTGGCCGCGTCGTCGAGGGAGAAGTGTTTTTGTTAGTGGCACGGTCGGAAGCTACAGGTGGGCCCCCCAACGTGCACCCCCCTGTTGCGACGGACCTGAAGTTTGCCGCTCGGTCGGGTCACGTGACCCTGCGCTTTCGAAGGGAATGCCTATGGCACGAGGAAGGGTGGGGGAGGGACAAGAGGCAGTCCCATGTCCGCTATTCCGCTAAGCTGACGGCCCACGACACGGCCGCGCCAGACGCGCCACGAGCTTCGTGAACGCACACAAAGAAGGTCACGTCGCGTTGCGTGTGCACGAACGCATATGCGCTCGCGAACGGAAAGGTGCGACCTGCGCGAGTCGAAGCCAATCGCGGTGAAATAACCGAAAAAGAAATGTGGCCGGTTACTGTTTGTTTTCTACGTTGTTCGTCGTGATACCCGTCTCGGAAGAGAGAAGAGAGCCGGAGCAAGTGCCACTAGCGTGGATAGGATGGACGCGTTGGGCATGTACCAAGTGAGTCTGGACGTACTTACTGATCTCCCGCGGCTCAAAATGGCCTTGGTTTATCGCGACGTGCTTTCCTCGTTACAAAGATTTCCCGCGGACGTTTCGCCGTCCCGTCGTACGCGATCGCGTACGATCATTGCTAGATAATTGCCGCGTGATGACAGATGTCACGATGTTTTTGTTTAGATATACATACGTACCACTATTTCTGTCTCTTTCTCGGCGTGCGTGTTCCTCTGGTCGCTCGATGCTGCATGCGTGATGTCATGTCTAGCAACCTAACCTAACTTACGAACGGAGCCTGCACCCATCACGCCCATTCCTGGTACTATTCCGTAAACGAACGCCGCTCGAAAAACCCGTGTTTTTTGTCCTACATGTTTCCCGATCCCGTTCCTTGCAGCGTCCTGCCGGCGATTGACAGATCGATGTCGATCCATGGATGATAGATCATTACACGTTGTCCTCGTAGGTTTTTTTTTTTTATATGTAATGAGAATAGCCGATCAAGCGGCGTATTGATATATTCTTTTGGACGGCACCGTGCTATTGTTTACAACCATGATTACATCGGTACATTGCGACGAAGAATGCCGTTGCTTTGTATTGCGATCGCCTAGCACGAGCAATGATGTAAACATCTTAGTTTGCATATTTGCGAACGTCGGAATAATAAACTTAATCGATGCGAAAATATTACAGTATATTGTTTTAATATTTCCTGAATAAGATTCGACTATATTTAATGACAAAAATATACAGAATAAAGAATATTTGCTAATTAAAAAAAATTATTGTTTGCACAGTTTTCTCAAGGCCTGACTGGCAGGCCAGAGCTGTACCAAAAGTCCAATAGAAGTAGTCATTCGAGTGACACAAGTTCAGCATACAGTGGTTCAGACACAATGACGTCTGTGCAAAGTTCATTGGATGCAGATGCGGATGAGGTTGATCTTTCGGGGCTTGTTGAATCCATAGTGGACAGCGACGAGGAGGAAGATCTTGCGGAGAGCATGGATGTAAGGATCATAATTTTCTGAACATTTAAATTGAACTTGAAAATTTTAAATATTAATTAATGATAATTTATTTTTTATCTTTTTTCAGAGCCTGACAGTCCGTGATCCTGTCAGAGAATGTTTAGAGAAAGATCCTATGGAAAGAACGGAAGATGACATAGAAACATTGTTAGAATTCACGCAACAATTAAAGGCCTTTACAAATATGACTCTGGCAGTAAGAAGAGCGCTGTGCGCTGTAATGGTGTTCGCTGTGGTTGAACGTGCTGGTATGGTAGTTTTAAACAATGGTGAAGAATTGGACAGTTGGAGCGTGCTTATCAATGGTGCTGTGGAAATTGACCACGGTAATGGTGAAATTGAACAACTGCACCTTGGTGATAGTTTTGGAATCTTGCCCACTATGGAAAGACTTTTACACAGAGGTATTATGAGGACAAAGTGAGTACCGTGTTTCAATATTGCTTTTCAATTAAACGAAAAAAAAAAATTTTTTTTTAATGAAAAAAATTCATTTTGGTTCCAGATGCGATGACTGCCAATTTGTATGTGTCACGCAGGCAGACTATTTTAGGATTCAACATCAAGGTGAAGAAAATACTAGGAGGCACGAAGAAAACGGTAGAGTGATTCTAGTAACAGAATTAAGGGGTGCTTTAGACGGGGGAGCGCGTAGGGGTCACGTTGTGATCCGCGGAACTCCCGAACGTTTAATGTTACAACTTATCGAAGAAAACAGTATTACCGATCCCACATATATAGAAGATTTCTTATTAACCCATCGAACATTTATCGATAGTCCTTTATTAGTTGCGAGTCAATTGTTAGAATGGTTTGACCAAGCACAAGTCAGAGACAGAGTTGCCAGAGTGGTACTTCTCTGGGTGAATAATCATTTTACGGATTTTGAAACCGATCCATCTATGATGGAGTTTTTAGAAGCATTTGAAACTGGGTTGGAAAGAGAGAAAATGCAAGGACAGCAAAGGTACGGTATAATGTAAAATTTATATCGCGGGGACTTTAATAATTAGATCGACGATTCGAATCTAAACTTATTTCAACGAATTACAGATTATTAAACATTGCATGCGAGGCAAAGGCAAGAACGCGAAATGTAACGTTAGCGAGGCCGTCTAGGGACGAGGTCCTACATTTTAGTATTTTAGGTGGTTACGAAAGGGGTTTTGGCATTTTCATTTCAAAAGTTGACAAAAAGTCAAAAGCCGAAGATGTCGGGTTGAAACGGGGCGATCAAATTTTAGAAGTAAACGGACAGAGTTTCGAGCACGTGAGTCATGTCAGAGCTCTTGAAATTTTAAGAGGATCCACTCATCTCAGTATAACTGTCAAATCAAATTTACTTGGTATGTGGCATCTTTTAGAAACAATAATTGTGTATTATATTTCTTTTATACGAGCGATAAATTACTGTTGTAGCGTTTAAAGAAATGCTTCAGATGCCAGACGATTCGCCGAGGCCACGGGCAAGAGCAAACAAACCCGAAATTTCAAGACTTCAAACAGATCCACGTGCAAGGTTGTCCACGCATGTGGACACGATTACTCCCGCAAATCCGCTAAACCCACTAGTGGGTGGTGTTCCACTGTTAATTCCCGATTCCAATGTCTCCCCATGTAAAGATGCAAAAAAGGAACATAAGGGATTTATGACGCTCGGACCGAAAAGAAGATTACAAAAAGCTCTCATGAAAATGAATATACTGCCAAAGAATACTATTAAGTAAGTAATAAAAGATATATATACACACATTTTTGAGGTTAATTTAATTAAAAGATTCGACAAAACATAACCTCTTCTATAGTGATGGTGTACATGTTGACGATCCTCTTGCGCCTCCTCACACACCACCGGGAACAGGACTTTCTCAAACCACCACTAACCTTTATCACTCCAAAAGTAATCCCGACCTCACGTCGTTATATTGTTACGATGATCTACGGGCGCCGGATTATCCTGAACACGTTTTGAAAGTTTATAAAGCTGATCAAACTTGTAAATACCTTCTTATTCACAAAGAAACAACGGCGCACGAGGTACGTACATTAAATCTTGGGAAACGATGTTGTTGTTCATGGGCGAAGAATTCTGTTTGTATGCTAATATGTTTCCGTTTAGGTGGTAATGCTTGCTCTTCAGGAGTTTGGTATAACGGAGAGCAGCTCGAACTTCTCTTTGGCTGAACTTAGCGTTGGGGAAGGAGGTATGATTAAGCAACGAAGGTTACCCGATCAGATGCAGAATCTCGCGGAAAGAATCGGCTTAAGTTCTCGATATTATTTGAAAACTAACGGCATTTCGGAGACGCTCGTGGCCGACGAACAAGCGCCGGAACTCATTCGTGAATCTCAGGTTCATTTCTTACAACTGAACGCCGTCGAAGTTGCTATTCAGCTGACCTTGCAAGATTTCAGCATATTCCGGTAAGTCGAGAACGTCGGAAATTATTTTCTGTTTTTTAGCGGGAACGAAGAATTTATTAAAATTTTATTATCAGGCAAATTGAATCCACGGAGTACGTGGACGATTTATTCGAATTGAAAAGTAGATACGGTGTGCCTATGCTCAGGCAATTTGCGGAACTAGTCAACAGAGAAATGTTTTGGGTTGTAACAGAAGTTTGTTCTGAACATAACCTCGTTCGACGTAGTAAAATAATAAAACAATTCATAAAAATAGCTCGTAAGTTCTTTATTCATTTCTAGCCATTTAAGAAAGTATCGTTTTGTACGAGGCTTTTTTAATACGTTTCCGTGTAAACAGGCCAATGCAAAGAGTGTAAAAATTTTAACTCGATGTTTGCAATCGTATCTGGTTTGGGCCATGGAGCCGTATCAAGATTACGAGCTTCGTGGGAGAAACTGCCAAGCAAATATCAGAGGTTATTTAGCGATTTGCAAGAGTTAATGGACCCTAGCCGTAACATGAGCAAGTACCGACAATTGGTGGCGTCCGAACAAACACAACCTCCCATAGTGAGCTACTTGTATTTCTCGATAAATTCTCGAACCAACCTAACACGCTGTTTAAAAATATTTTACTTCTTCAGATTCCATTTTATCCGGTAGTAAAAAAAGATTTGACGTTCATACATCTCGGTAACGATTCAAGAGTAGAGGGTTTAGTGAATTTTGAGAAGCTAAGAATGATCGCGAAGGAAGTGAGAACGTTAACGAACATGTGTTCCTCGCCTTACGATTTATCGATAATGTTAGAAAGAGGCGGTCAACCACCCAGTTCGGCCATGGTCGCGTTGAATCAAATGACCACTGGCAACCAAGGTAAGATAATTAAAATTTGCGATAACGATATGTATGATTGTTGAACGTATTATAGTTTATTTTTACTAACAGTATTACATTGTCCAGGAGGACAAACCGCAACCGTGAAAAGGCGGAAAAAGTCGACCGCTGCGCCAAATCCAAAGAAGATGTTCGAAGAAGCGCAGATGGTCAGAAGAGTGAAAGCATACCTTGCGAACATGAAAGTGATAACGGACGAGGAACGATTACACGCTCTATCCGTGGACTGTGAACCTCACGCGGGAGCTGTTGCAGTAGCCGCCGCGGTACCACTTAGTGCAAGCCGAGGAAGAAGGCATCCCTCTCCCACGCTATCGACTACGAGTAGCGCCAGCAGCACCAGTGAAGGTAGAAAGAGCATACAAGGTAAGGTTCATTAACATCGGATGACCCTGAAAGGTCGTCACAACGTATTGGCGTATTCCGTACCTCAACCTAGGAATGTTTGTTTCTTGTAAAACTCGAGAAGACGTAGAATACATTTGTATATTTTGTGACACCCCTCTGGGCTGGTTATGTACGAACCCGACTATTATCTGTCGCATAAATTATTCATAGGTCGTGTGTTAAGTAGGGCCTCCTAATTATTCCGTATTTTCAGGTACAAAGTTCGGAGCAGCGTCGCCACAGGCAGTGAGAAAAATGTTGGCGCTCTCCGACCCCCATAAAACACGTCCGTACCAACCTAAACACTGTCCACCACCACTTCCAGTACCGGGATTAGCCTTGCATTCCAGCGGACTGGAGCCTAGTCCTGGTGCACCTAGGAGAGTAGGATCTGGTAGCAGAGTTCCTATGCATGAGAGATCCCATAGCGATACTCCTTCCAGTTTACCACCACCTGTCGATCTCAGCGCTGAAAGTAGTAGCGTGACCAGCCTGAGCAATCTACAGCCGTTACGAAAAACGTTGACCAGCGGTAAGTTCGTCTATTTTCATACCGAGAAAATGGTTCGAAACGAGATGGTGTCAATCGGTACCGACACGCACGTGAATACGTAACGATGTTACTGAACAAGATTGTGTTTATTTTATGCATCGTTTGCCTCGCGCAACGGGAATCCACCCGTGGTGCTTCTTCCGTTTCATTTGGAACGTTTCTTGCGGACACGAAAATGGCGGACACATCTCGTAAAGTACCATCGTGCACCTTCATTGCTCGTGACATACACTTGGTCAGGTCTCGCAACGAGATACTCTCATTTTATGCACGCTGCACAGCCGTTTACGCAATTCATAAATGTTCCATGTTATATTTAGCTTATCCATTTTACACGCATCTTGTACGCCGATTACCGTAGCTCGCGCTTCTTTTCGATCAATATTATCGTCCCGAGTATATACCAACGGTTCTGATCCCAGGGCGAAGCACGTCTAGCTTCAATTTAGATCATTCTCCATGGGACATACGGACGCGTGAATGACATCCTCTACGGGTTCTATTAGGACTTTCGGTCTTAACGTCTGTTAATAATCTCAATAGACAAGTAGTTTCAAATTTCACGAACTGTTCCTTTACGCTTGGATCGAATAGCGATAAATCTTAGGACAGAAATTTGGACATATCGCTCCTGGGAATCTACTTTCAGCAAAGTTCATTTTCCAGGAAACGTTACTTTTATTAGGTAGAGTGACGCGTTCGTTCGTATTTTGAACACCCGTCTATAGCTTTCGATTTCTATGAACGGATCTTGTATGTTTAGAAAGTAATAGTTTGCTAATTAAGTTTTCTAAAATAATCTTACGATCCAAGAGGAGCGCGAAAGAAAATTTTAAACGTAGAAGAACGTGGGTAACTAAATTTTTTATTAATATTTAAATAGAGCTTAATAAATGGCTTTATTTTTAACTTATAGTAAAAAATATTATACAAATGGGATTCAAAGAATTAAAATAGTTCAATCCGCCTCAGTTAATCGAAAGAAGCGTAATAAATATTTTTATAAAAGAATCCGAACGAACGTATCGCTGAGCCCGTATGCAATTAAAATTACTTCCCCGACAGGCTGACACGAAATTTATGGCTTCTCCGCTAGAAGTAGCTAATAGTCGCTTACAGAAGGATCTCTGGGTAGGCGTGGATCGAAAACGAACGCTGTGCGAGCGGGAAGTAAATCGCGCGACGGAGTCGAGTTTTGGCGGCTCTAGTTGGCTCCAACTGTTAGCGAGAGAGAAAGAGAGAGAAAGTGAGAGAGAGCTAACCGGGGATTGCAATGTCCTAACGAGAAACTCGACCACTAATCTGATTAGATGATTAGCAGTTGGCAGGCGCAACAGGGCGAAAACTGGGCTAGAATGTGTAGTGATAGAAGTGTCTTGGGGACGTGTGCGTAGGTTCGGTGACGAGCAGTGACAGTGGTCACAGTACACAGCTGGACAGCCACAGCGGAAGCAGCGTGGAAGCCGGTGGCAGTCCACCGCCACCTCAAAGACGGCACTCCGCCATGCAAGGTACGTAACGATCTAGAGAAAAAAACAACCAAAAACCAAAGAAATCCACAAGCTCGTGCTCAAATACCTATTCTTCTTCCCGTTGCCCGCTCCGTAGACCGTAGACTAGAAGAGTAGAAGAAAAAAAAAAAAAAAAAAAAAAAAATTTAAGAATCTGGAGTGGTCCAGCAGACGAAGTTGTTTTGTGCAAAGAACGAATTCGTTTTTGTGCTTTCGTTCCGTAGAGACTGTTTTCGCATAGACCCGAAACGACGAGACGCCGTGTTTATTCTGTCGAATGTGTCGAACACTGCACAACGAAAGTAACTGCGTGAACTCGTTTCGTCTAAAGAGTTTGGGGGTGTTTAAACGAGTCTCTGCTTGTAACCGCGTGATCGTAAAAACCGTTGATATTCGAGAGGATCTGTTCAGTAGTGTGTGACATTGATCTTTGGTAGACAATAAACGAGAATGATTCATTGGAAAAGAGTGTGATATTTGTTGTACGCCTATCGATCGAGTATTCCTTGAAAGAACTGTCACACCTGTTTCCGATTTTCTTTTGGTTTATATATATATATAATTTTTTTGTTTTTATTTTTTTACCGATTATAGTCGCAGTCCGTTTTTCCCTGAATCATTCACTTCGCGCGTATCCCGATTCTAACGTTGACAATTGTATACGTATGTCCCATGGCCACTCATCTTCGTTCTCTCGTCTATGGTAGTTGAAAATCCCCGTGGAACTTGCGCTGCGTGACGCGCTCACTTTATCGTTCACGGTATTTTATTTATGATCGTTCAGCCGTGCGTTGATAACGTAGGTAAACGTGCTTATAGCCGCTTTTATCACGGAGTTCCAGTTGCTTTAGTACATTTTATCGCTTAAAGCTTCTTACAGAGACTCGCTTCTTTACGCAAGGGGCACTTCATGCATACGCATATATATATACAATATATATATATATATATATATACATACCACATTTCGATCCAATTCCCGCGATCTCTTTGCACTCGCGGCACTCACTCTAGGAATTCTTCCTTCTTGGCAGAGAACTCGAGTCCGATACGAGAAGATATTTTTTTTTTTTTTATTTTATCGCGTCCCCCGCGACGATTTCGTACGTACCGGGCCCGGGACCGTCACGTTACGGTCCAAAACATTGTACATTTTGTAAAGAAACATTTCGTATGTGGCCTGTGTGTGGTGCAGGGTCTGTTTTGAGAGGTGGTGCACCTCCGTTCCCCCACGCGGTAGCAGTGTTACCTCCGCTTCCTGCCAACCACAACCAGAATCACAACCACAATCATCATCATCACCACCACCACCAACATTATTACGATCATCACCATCACCAACCCCAAAATCCTCAAGGTGAGTCCGCGACTGTCTTGCCTGTCTTGAGTTTCTCTCCTTGCAACTGGGCTGACATCTTTTCGTAGAACTGTTTCTACTGTGATCGCGTTGCTTCCGGGGCCTTGGCATGACTTGGACGATCTACTTGGTGATGGGGCAGGTGTTTAATCCTTTTGGTGTTCGTCGACGCGTTTAGTTAGAGGGATTTTGTTGATTTATTTTTACTAGTATTTTATAGTCCATATGAAGGCCTATTGTCGCTCTTTCATAATGGCGACTTTTGCTACAGAATAATTTACTGTTTAATTCAGTGATCACCTCAGCTGGTGAACAACACTTTCTCGATATCCTGTGATACAATAGTGCATAATAATGTACACGAAACAGACTAGACCAAATTGTGTCACCTCGGTATACTTAGAAAATTTCGGCACCAAAAGGGTTCGAGCGTGAGTCAGTAGTCATACTAATCCCGAATGTCGCGTAGAAGGGACGAGTAGGTTGGTCGTAAGTCTAATCTTCACCGGAAGCAACGTTTCTGGGTTGAGGCATCGGTTGATAATTGTATGCATCGGCTTACGCTTGTACACGAAATCGCTTGCTCGACGAAGAGTTTACGCGTGCACGCTATAATAACAATATCACGTGAGTATCGTTGCCTGCTGCGTGTGTTTTCGTGTGCCTGCCGTTCGAGGTGTGTTGCATCGTGTGTTCTGTCGTGTATCGTCGACGGTGTACACCCTCAGGATTAACCGGCGAGAACCGAGGCTTCTTTTCAGGGCATATTAACAGGTTCTCTGTGCTTTCCTTTCCTTGGGGGCTGATCTAGCGGTGAATAACGAGCGTTGTACGGTTTCCTCTTAAACCCGTTCGTCGTCTCGAGCGCGCCGAACGAGCACGAGGCTTCGCTACCAGAGGCAGACCGATCTGTCGAATCGAACATTCGCTGGTCGCGTTTCTTCGGTATCGATTCTCGCGTCGCGCTCGTTCGGAATCGCTTAACGGCGGTGGATTACACGGTCGTCCGGATATGGGGGAGAGAGCATTGTTGAAGAGCAGAAAGGCGTGGGTGTGAGAGATCGAGAGAAAGAGAGTCGAGGGTTTTCAGGTACCGGGGGATTAGGAGTAGGCGTGGGTCTCGGAGTACCGGCGGGACTTCTTCCCCAAGGAGCTGGCGCGACGATAATGACGACGATGACGACGATGACTACCATGACGTCGATGACGACGATGCGTCCAGGAGTCGGTAGCGCGCAGTGCCGTCAACCGCCTGCGTACAAAGTCGCCGCACAGATGGCGAGGTTGCACAGGCTAGGCCGTGCTCACAGCCACGAGGGTGTTACCTACAGGACCGAGCACGAAGATGGTACAAAGCAAACAAATCGCTACGTACATACAGTCTCTAACTCACGTTTCTATATTCGTCTCTTTATCGAATTTTTAATCGTCCACGAGGCTTGCGTTTCCCTACCGCTGTCAGTGATGGGAGCGATACACAAGAGTCGTCTAGCTATTGCATGGAGAAAGAAAGATTAGTACTGGGGAGGAATTACGAGTCTCATTTGGGGCTGAACGCTTTAGGGCTGCGACTAACAAGGGGGACGATACGGCTCATACAGCCCCCGGATTTTGGAACTCTTAAGTATAGGTCGATTGTTAAAAAGTTCTCCAGGGACCACATTTTTAGAAACAATATACTTCACTATAGTATCTATATTCACAAATAATTCTAGACTGAAAAGTAGAATGTTTAATCAGATCTTCAAGAACCCTTAAGTCATGGCAATTTTGATGCCCTTCATGTTCTCTTCGACGTGTGCTATAATTAAATTTGATGTAAACGATGACTCAAATTACACATAGTATTTAATTCTTAGCCTTGATATGAAATATACATACCTTACCATTTTAGAATTAAAAATATACATAATTAAAATACAACAGAAGAAAAGATTGTTTTAAAAGTGGAGCATAATTTAGAAGTCGTGTCATCCCCTTGTAAGCAAAAATCATTTAATATGAACCAAATTATATCTACTGATGGGTACCACATTTCCCTTAACCTGGGACTAATCTTTTTTTCCTCATTACTATAATCAGCAATAGTATACAGATCATTTAAGAATATTTGAACTGATAATTAACGTGGAGACAATTTAGTAGAATCAATTATATTAGCTCGAAAAAAAAGAAAACTTAAATGTTTTAAAGTACTTTGGTACACAAAAACCAGATTTCATATTACCAAACATTTATGAAATAGTACCCATACAATTATTATTTCACTTTTGAGTAAGCACCGAAGAATTGAGTTTTATTATCATCGACAAATATCGTGTAAATCCCATCACTGATTATGGATAGTGCACGGAGAAAAATGTTATTCGCATTTTTTGATTTTGTCAGCATCTCTCGCTTATTAATCGCGCGATATCGATGAATATTTTTGGCGCATTTTCGCTTTGCCTTCTCAGACGTGTGCAAAATAGTGTTTTACAAAAATTTTTAAGTCTAGAATCAAATTAAACTTAAAGTTATCGTGAAAATCTAGTGTTTTAGCATCAGTTTTCAGTTCTGTAACATGCATCGATTTAGCTAGTTTTTATATTTAGTATATCATTTTTAGAGTGCAGTATAGATTAAAGCATAACACGTTAATTTTTAATATAAATTTTTTTCATCAGTTTCAACCCTTGTGATTCCCACGCAAGAAAATTTGCTCGTTAATTATATTTATACTCGATATTTTACGAGCAGCAAGTATTTTCACATCGAGAGAAAACGTTAAAAATGCAAAAATGAATATGCTGCCTTGATCCCGTTAACCATTCAGCGATAAGAGCGCAAAGTAACAAAAGCGTTTTATTAAATTTTAAAGATTCGCCAATTTGTGTCAACGACAAACACCTGCTATCGAGAAAGATAAGGTCAATCTTGAAATGTGTCACGTCTGAAACGGTTAAACACGCGTAAATTCTATTCCGTTGCAAATACGGGCGCGCTTTCTCGCGGCCACCATCGACTTCTCTAAATAACATTTTTCACCGTGACGATACCGCGGCAATATTTACTCAACTTTCTTTCCATTCGATTATTCAAATCTTAGCACAGAATTCTAGATCGCGCAAAGCGGTGAAACATTGAAAACTACATCGTGGAATCTTCTTTCCCTCGATGGGACGTGCTTATGCATCGATTACACTTTTGATTTCTCTAGCTACCTTTAAGAGAACTCTTCGCGCGTATCGATTAAGTATTACACAATGTATGTATGAACGATCCGCGAAAGGGTCGCTGCTGTTTGTTACTCGATGTACATGTCTCGATAAACGCAGCAAAAGATAATCTGTAAATAACGAGAAAACCGCATTTTCCACTTGTACATTTCGCAAAATGCCTGTTTATAACACGTTGTGTAAGCATAACTCGTGTTTTCTGTTGTTTTTTTTCGTGTGAGCATCGTTTCGGCCCGCACCCGCTCTTACGCATAATACGCATCTTTTATCACCGAATTAGTTCTTTGCATCCAGTGAATTCTTACACGTGATCGATGTTCGTGCACTCGCTAGAGGCTTGCAGCAAATTATCGTGCGATTTCCCACGGATTGCAGACTATCTCCCTCGACGTTACTTCGTTCTCCATTTTGTCGTGGCATGTCGAGCTTGCTTGCGTCCATTTTGCACGTCGCACACTCCATGACCCCATTTGTTTTTTGTACCGATTTCATTTCTCTCGATGGAACACGAATTTTTACAGCAACTTTTCTAAGGAAGTACCGTTTAATGTGTGTGTATCCCCCATCTTTCGGGTCGAAGGACTCCTGTCTACTTTGGGGGATTTGTTCTGTTCTAGTTGTCGCTGAAACTGCAATTTATCAACTATTGGATCGTGTTTCTTACAAAATACGTTGATCCTCAACTGATCAAATATAAAAGAAATAGCAATAGTCTTTTCTAAATGCTGGTAACTCTTAATCTAAAATTGGACAAGTATTCAGAAAATAGTATCATTGAAAAGTAGTGTAATTATGCATGACAGCACCCTTTGAGAACAAAAAAATTGTAAGATAGATAGTTTCGTAGAAATGTTTTAAAAGTATAACGAGATAAGTCATATTTTATATTAAATTAAGATTCTTTACACAGGAGCATGCATCACCCATAGTGTAGACTGCATTAATCAAACATTGAACATGTCACAGTAAATCAGTCACGTATTAGTTGAGGATCAGTGTAACCACAGAATCCTCCATAATCTGAACAAGCAGTAGCAAGATTAGAAATTACAGTTTCAAAGATAACGCTCGACACAGATTCCTCTCCACCTTTTACACGAGTCAAACTAGCGCTAGTAATTCCACGTTACTTCTCTATTCGTCGTTGCGTTCACTAGGCTCTGAATAGAAGAAGACGATTGCAAGATGCGAGTCCCGCTAAAAACTTGTTTGTCTCTTTAAAAAAAAAAAAAAAAACATACACGCACACGAGTACGCAGGTATCGGCGTCAGAGTGTTAAGATTCAGCCAAGGTAGACCGACAGTCGGCAGAGCATCGTCCCACGACCGTAGAAATTCCCCTCGGTCATTACTGACGCGATCGTTACAATTTTTTCAGACGATGAGGACGCCCAAGTGTCGGCGGTTTAAACGGTCCACGACGCGTAAGGAGCACTGTCCTTGCTTAGGAGGCCAGCCTTACCTCGTCCAATCAGCTCGTTCTTTCGCTAGAGGAAAGAGGACAACCCTCGTCGTTCCACGGTGCCAGGTCGGACGATCCTCGCGAAAGGGGAGTCGCTAGAATTCGCGAAGCTCTCTCGTACCCCCTCGTCTCGGATCGAGATGAACGAATTTCGAGACGGGTACGGAGGGACGAACGATTGACACGCACAGTGCTTTCGACGGTAGCTCGTCGAGAGATCGGATCATCCATAGTTCAAGGAACTACGAAGAACGCGCTTCCAAGAATCGTAACCAAACGAAAACAGACGTTCGTTTGGGAATCTCAACGGAGTGTTCGGATTAACCGGAGTTGAGGTTCGAAGGGATTGGAAAAAAAAGAAAGAAAAACGAGAAAAGACGACTTTTCGATCAGACTGAGAGGAGGCGAGCTCCTCCTACGGAGGTGCCACGAGTTTCGATCGCGGGACTAGAGCGCGAGAAAACGGTCATAAGTAATATTCTATATAAATGTGTAATAAATCAAGTCCAAAGATGTTATATATACCGCGTATCGCCGCAGGGAGTACGAATGACGGCGTGTCCTGTATTATATACTTTTTAGGCTAATCTTATCCTCCCCCCGCCCCCAAACCGCTCCTCCCTTCCCCTGTAGCATAAGTATATAAGTTGGTGTACATAGCGTAGCTTTAATCGTAGTCTTTAACCGAGAGGCGAGGAAGAATGAGACGCGAGAATGGAAATTCACAGTGCAAATCGGATACACGCGACCGAGGTTTCGAGAAACGATCCCCAAAGCCTAGCGACACGATATCGCAGATTTAACGTCGATCGTTCCGTTTGTTCGTTTCGTTTATTTTTAAAATGTCTGCGCAGGTATCCGGGGTCGCGACTAAGTTTTAAACGAAAGAGCCCACGACGCTCGTCGGGCCTCGAAACGATTTTAGTTTTTCGCTACGGTCGTTCGATCGTCACCGGCGGTGACGTGTGTTCGCATGCAAAATCGCAGATACGCCCGGGAATCCGGCGATTCCGCGGGGCACGCGTGTTGAATTTTACCGTTGACGCGATCAAGTACAAAGTATTTTTCAAAGACTAACGGTTCGCGATGTGGGGTACGATCGAAAGTACTGTTCCTGGGCTTTTGAAATTCCTTTTAACCCTGTACTGCATAGCCGCGCCCGATCGGAACTTGAAAAGATCCCTGAGGTGGTAGAACGTATTCGATTAAGTAGCGAGATACGAGACCAGACGATCAGATCATCGCTTAGGCCTATAATCTACCTAGCGAGTGTCATGTGATACTTTTTAAAAGAACTAAGATTACGGAATGGTGACAAGGACCAACATCGAAACGAGTCCAGGGGTCTTGTTTAACTTGTTCGACTGTAGCTACGCAGGCTTCTCAGATACTATTCGGTGGAAGCATTGATCCTCTATAATCCAATTCTCGCTTACGAGTAACTTATTTACTAGGTTGTGGGTAAACATCGAGACGACGAGATAGAAAAATTGTCATTCCAAATCAGGAACGGAGTAGGGGGAAATTCTCACCTAGATGTAAAGCTTCCTTGACGTGTTATTCGTTCGATAAAAATTACGATCCGAATTGTACGTGGGAGTAACTCTTGTTGTTGTCTAAAAATCGCCGGAATTATAGAGGGTGGAATAAAAATTCGTGCAGTAGAGGGTTAAGACGGTACGAGTCAGCGTACGTGTTCGACGAGAAAGCGACGAAATATCGATGAAAAAGAATTCCAATGAATCTTCGCGAGAACGAAACGCAAGGCATTAGGCGTCTCGGGATACGAAATGTTCGAATATTGTATATGCATCGAGTATGCTCAACTTATTTTTACTGACTATATTACGGAAACGAATTTTCGATCTGGTGTAACTTGTATCTCGAACTTTCTCGATTCGTCGAACTCATATTTTCCGAAATTTTATCAGTATCACGGTACGTTTTAGTTTTATATATATAAATATATATATAAATATATAAATATCTGTATGTATGTCCGCGTCTCGAAGCGCGCGAGGATAATTGGGAAGGATCTACGCCTCTGTGCGAAGAGGAGACCCCCCAGGCGAGTGTCGACGAGGCGGAGGCGCGCGGCTGGTTTTATTATCGATATCGAGTAATAGGTTTTTCTTCGCCCGTTCGACTTGTAATCGTAACAGCGTTGTAACAGTCATACTTCTCGTCCATTTGTGCACGAAGCCTCGAGTCCTTGATCGACGAGTGTCGAGGGAAACTGTAATCGACGCGCGGTTAGGATGCGTCGGAGACACGGTCGTCGAAAAGGCGTTTATCGCGCAAACGAGGATCAACACGGTGCATTTCCTCGTTTCGAACGTTCCGATACTATTATCCGGGGCGTCGCGAGCGTGTGTTTCGCTGTCGACATTCCACTGTGTCTTGCCGTGAACCGTGGCCAACATGCTTCCCCCGCGCGGGACTCGTCTCCTCGCGTGCGACAGACTGCTCTCAGATATTAATTAATAACCGCGCGACTCTCTATCGAAAGGCATCAGATGTCCTCGGAACACCGTGGTGATCCTCGTCGCGGCCGTGAATCCATCAACATTTACTTGCATATTCATATTAATATCTCTTTGTACATATCCTAACGACTTTTAAATATTATTAATCCAACGTTCCCGTGGGAACAATTTAAAAATCATTGTATCCAGCGATTTCATCGATCAAAGATTCCTCGTGAATTAGAGCGTAGAAGGAAAAGAACAAAAAAAAAAGAAACAAAAACGAGAGCTAGACCCGAAAAAAATCGACCTCTTTATCCGCGTTTCCTTTTCTCATCTCTGTTTTTTCAATCGTCAAGACGAGATATCGCCCGTTTCGCGTTTCTCCTTTCGAACTGGTTCTCCCGAGCTCTTCCTTTTTGTACCAACGGCTCGAGCTCAAGAACACACGATCAATTCCAAAGGGAGCATTTACCATGCCTTTGCGAATCGGCGCGAACCAGAGTGAATCCCGTTCCTCTTCAGAATTTCGGGTCGAACGTTAGATTATATCCGTGAACCAGTCGAACGCTTTCGCTTGTCGGTGAAAAAGTCACACGCGCTTCCGCGGTCGAAACGATTCCCTCCCCCCTTTCCTTTTATTCGAATCGTGTTGTTCGCTACGGGAGCAATAAATTCTCGGGAGGAATCCTCGAAGAGGAACGGAAACGTTCGCGCGAGCGCGAGCAAAACAGAGCGGACAGAATTAGTTAGTCTTGAATCGCTGAAGCTCCGAGCCCCCTTCTTCCCTTAATTTTATGGAACGATCCACCTTTTGTAGAGTTTGCGTAATGTGTGAGAGAGAATGTTTATCGAAGAGAGAAAGAGAGAAAGAAAGAAATGTGGACAAGCCTTGAACTTTCTTCCACGAGTCCCCCTCCCTCCCTCCTCGACCTCTTTTATTTTTTATTTATGCCCCCTTTAACCCTACCCCCAACCCCCCCTCTCTCCTGTTGTTTTAATTATTTATAAAACTTCGAGATGGAGCAGGAAAACTTTTTGTATTTAATTTGTTTAATAAAACTTGGATCATAGTACAACATTCCGACTGGTTTGGTATCGAGAACACTCGTCCCAAGTAATGCGTTCTCGTCTCCGTCGAAACGCGTCGTTCGCTTCCCTCCACCCCCCTTACCCACCCACCCCCTCTCTGTTACATTTCTTCGCGACGAAACGATTAATGGGACAAAACAGTACAAACGAAAATAAATAATTTAAAAGAAAAAAAAGAAAGAATGAAGCGAGAGAAAGGTTTACGCGAGCGATGTTCTGCGCGAACACATTTGTTAACGAACACTTTACCTTAGTTTTGTACATAAACGCGCGTGAAACGCGCACCCTTCGTGTTTTCACTTGTTTTCTTCTTTCGACATGTCTCCGTGTACGGTATATGTCGTTGACCCGGAAGCTTTTTACGTTTTGCTTTTTTCTTTTATTTGAACGCGCGTCGACGCGATATGGAAACGCGAGGAACGGTGGGCACTGTAATTTTTTGTATCCAAGGAGAAAGTATTTTAACGCTTTATTTGGCTGCTGGCTAAGAAGACTGAATAATCGAAATTATTATTTTTATTTTAAACGATCCTTTTACTTTTAACTTTTTAATTTTCAGTCCCGGGTCGTTCTAAAATTTTTCTTTGCTCTTTCATTTTATTTAAGTATTCACTGTGTTATTTTTATGTGAAATCGAAGTATGTACAAATATACCTGCTCTCTCAAGTATTAATCATAGATCAATTTTATGTTTTACCTGAAAGGTTTGCCTTGTCAATTTCTAATCTTATTAGACGATGCCTGATTTAGTTGGACCGGTAATCAAGGATCGAAGAGATCTTGCAACGCCGTGATAGATTTATTCGTACGAATTATTTCCATTTCAGATTAAAATAAGAATCAACGTGGAAACGAATTTTTTAACTGGCGTAGAAGTTTTGAATTTTCTTAGTTTAAAATCTTTTACGACGTTTATCGATTCTTGTGTAAAATCTTTTTAGTTTGGACGTTAGATCTTCACGAACGACGAAGATCCCAACGAAGATTATGAAATTAAAGAATGTTTGTTTGAGGAAAGATGATTGATTTACGCGTGCAGCGAGCGTGGCCAAGTAAAGAGTTAAAAGGTAGTATTTTTATAAGGTTTCTTATGAAATAAATATAAGTTAGGAATTTCCAATGGTCAATGAGAGATACCGTACGCAAGAGAAGAACCCGTGGGAACGAAACTGGTGGTGATACTACTGCTACTATTTTGTACGATACAATGTTTTTGTATATCTGTCTACCGTATGTATAGGAACAAAGTCTACCAATTATAATAGGTGGTTAAAAATTGTATCGAACACGTATTAAACAATTTGTAGCGTGATGGACACAAGCTCCGGTTGTATTTACCAAAAGTCACACATAGATGTTGTTCCCATTAATGTACACCTGTAAAATCCCTGTCGAACAATATATAAGCTACTAAAGGATTGGTAAAGAGTTCTTTTGTACTTTATTCGTCGACCATTTTCTTTCTTGCGCTGTCACATACCCGTGAGTTTTGTATTGGGATAGCTGGAATATCAGAAAAGAAAATATTTAAATTGTAATAGTGTCTTTTCATAATTGGGCATTTAATTATCGTTGAGAAGTCGTTTTAAGTCCCAATTTATTTTTTCTTTTAAAATTAGAATTGTAGAGGAAGTTGCTTTGATCAGTAATACGATTCTTATCTTATTTACAAACTCGACTAGATTTTTTAGAAAACTACCCTCAAATTAACTCAGCCGAATAGCAATATTTTTGATAAAATTGGAAGTTAACGCTTTGACGGCCGCTGTCACGTATATGTGACTTTGAGAGCCAGCAGACGTCGGCCACTGTCACGTGCGCGTGATCTACTGTATCAGTTACCATTTCATCGTACATTCAACTTATTACGTTTGTTGAGGTTACATTTATAATTCCTAGCATCTTCGTGTATCTCACTTTGATGGACAACGGTTTTCGCGTGATACGTGTGGCCATTAAAGTGTTAAGAATGTCTTAGATTTTCGTCCAAATTCTATAGAAAGGTGTAGCAATTCGTAAAGAAGAAATTGTAGAATTTCCACGCGAAGAAACGTGATATTCCACGGATTCCAGAATCGACACGTGGTATCGGTGACCACCTGTTGCTTTAGGCAGGAACCAACTGACAGTCAGGAGTTAGCGTAGTCACCTGAGCGTAAAATTGCAACTCGAATGCATTGTCTTCGAAACGTTTCTTCCCCTCTGGAACATTGGCCAACGACACGGACACGGAGCATGTGAACGTTGTGAATTGACTTTTCGCAGACGTGCACCGATCTTCGGTATTATTTCGTATATAGTTTAATACCTTTTCAGCTGAACGTTCCGATCGAGCAAAATTCTCTAGAATTTCATATCCAAATAAATGCGCCTCGAATTAGAATTTCATAATTGAACAAAATTAAATTCTCTTTTATAGTTCTGCGATTTTAATTCAAGGTAAAATCATCATCAAAGCGCAATCTGCTTCTAATTATTCTATCTTAAAAAATCTATTCATAGTAAACGATGCAATTTTCTCGGTGATTCATTGAAATTGAAGTTCGATGTTACAGTTTCACTTCCATTTTCGTAAACTTGATAAAAACCGGCTAGCGAGTCAAGGTCCTGGTTCCGTAACCTTTCAGCCGCGCAATGACAATTAATGCCCGCCATTTTCAGGATATAACATAGAAGCAGTTTCGCAGCAACAGGTTGGGGAAACAGAGCATGTCTTCGGGCGAGCCGTTTCAGAAATGTTACGTCTCTGTTCATTTTCCCGGTGAGTAATGCGTTGGCTATTGTAATGCTAAATTAACACCGCGAACGTACCGTTCAAGTAAACGTATTCAGACGTTTTTTCGTGTTTGCATAACGCCCGTTATGCGAAGTGCACGATAACAGGGACGTAAAATATATATTTTCTCTTTTTACTCCAATTGTTTGTTGTGTTAGCGGTACCAGATACTTTAAACCGGTACATGTTTCAAATTAATTATACAATTATTGAATCGTATCGAGCATATTCATATCTTCGAAGGCGATGTTCCATTAAATTTAGAATTATTTTATGTACTGATATTATTATTGGTCGACATGGACCTATCTAATGTAGCTCTATTTCTGTATCAGATTATGTCACCAAGTATTGAATGGCGATGGCTTGTCCCCTTTGCATCCTCAGTAATCATCTTTCCAGTCTTGATGCCTGAATTATTAAGCTTTTCAGAGTCATCTTGAATTATTTGGGGTCCTTGCTGATCGTGGACGTATAATAAATATTTAGTGTGTTGGAATAGTTTAAAGATGACGTTGATATAAATAGGAAAGGTACCAAATGAGAACGTTATACTCTCGAGTAATTGTTTTTCAGTTTAACTATTCAAACTCTTTTCGATAAAGATAGCCAAGAAAGTATATAGGTGTTTATTCCCAACTTGTCTTTGAAACCAAGTTTATCATATATATCATTATTTAAACGATTTCTGGGGATAAATAGTGTTTCAAATAAAGATCCTCAAGGACTTACAAACTTAAGGGGGGAAAATAAAGGCAATCTTCAAGAATTTTTTAGGCCTAACTATGAAACTTTCTCTGATAGATGTTTAATGTCTTCGAAAGTACATTTCTTCAACTACTTCTTGCAAAAATTTTATATAAAAATACTCATTATAGCGATAATAGGAACCAGCGTGAGAGGCCTCCAAAAATTTGTAATTTTTCATTGCAAGCCGTGAAACGAGAAATCATGCAATTTTTGAAAATAATTATTTATTATGAAATGGTTGAACTTTGAAGGAAAAATTTCAAAAACTATGACAAAATCAATGCTTCTTTCAACACCATCTAAATCTTCTGTAACTTTGTCATTTCTGTGAATTTTACTTTAATAATTTGGGGGGTCATTCTTAAACCCCCAAGCATTGAAAAGAGATGAAAAAAATTGTTTAAATCCGCCACAGTGGTTTCTCTCCTTAACACGTTGACTGCCAGATCAAATCCCTCAAATTGTCTACGAAAAGGATACTCTTTTTTGGATAATTGGAAAATAGCATATCCACAATTTGTCATAGAACTTATTTTTACAGCCTCGTTAAAATTTAAGTGTCCTATCAAGATTTATTTCCTTTAACATGTAATCTTGAGAAATAATTTTTTTAGTTGATCGATGAAAATTCATGTCACCCATATACGGGGTGACGTGGCAGTCAATGTGTTAATGACACCCAAAGTAAAATGATCGAAGATGAAAATAAAATTTTTCTTTCCACTTTTATTTTATTTAAGTGAAACGAGAAATCATGCAATTTTTGAAAATAATTATTTATTATGAAATGGTTGAACTTTGAAGGAAAAATCTCAAAAAACTGTGACAATATCAATATTTCCTTTAACACCACGTCGAAACTAATTATTCGATCGAAAATTCTGTACATACAACTGAAGAGAATAGTATTAGGAACCTCTATGACGGCTGAAAATAAAGGCAATTTTCAAGAATTTCTTAGGCCTAACCATGAAACTTTTTCTGATAGATGTTTAATGTTTTCGTTTAAATTGTACTTTTTCGCGTCTAAATCGTCGGTGTCGAACACCGTGCATTCTTATCTCTTGTGGCCCCTATTTCAAACCGATGCTGCGCGACAGGATCCCGATCCCGATCCCCGAACCTCGAATCTATCGCGTTCGCCTACGTCTCCCCTCCCGGTTGGCTTTTTGCACTACACTCCACCTCCTACCATCGTTTCGCCATTTCCCTCTCTCCGCGAGCCGATGCACGATGCAGGGGAGAAAGACACGCTGCCTTCCGACCGGCTCGTAGTTGCTCGAAAACCTCTCTTACCTGCGCCGTGCGCTCGCTTGTATCCGCCGACGAGCTTCCGAATCGGTTCGTTGTCGCGTACGGTATCTACACGCGGCGAGCCCTTCCGCCATTTTGGTCCCCGGGCCGCTTCCGGTGCCGCGCGTCCACTACGGCTCGATCGAATCGATCCAAGTGCCGGAAGCGTGCTCGGAAACGCGCCTAACCCGCGCGCGCGCGCTCTCCGCTCGACCGTCCGCTAACCGTCGAAACGATGTTTTGATGATCCACGGGCGGCCCGGATCCCCGCAGCTTCCGCCCGCAACAAATGGCTCCGAGGAACCAGACGAGACACTCGAAACTCTTTCGCTAGATCCAATCTGTCACCGACGATCGAATAATAGAGAACAGGTTTAATGATTTTAGAGATCGATTTACAGTAAATTTCACCTGTCGAATCTCTGGGATCAAGACACACCTGACCGTAGAGAGTAACTTGACGATTACTCGGTCTTAACGAAAACGAAAGGTTGATAGCGATCTTTCACAGATTTAACCGTGGAAATCCAACTGTACCGAGATCAGAAGTTGGAAACGAGAAGACCAGGATCAATGTCGTCGAAGTACCGATGAAACTTAACTGTGCAAATTAACGATTAGAGACCCTCGAGAGTAACTTGACGATTACTCGGTCTTAACGGAAACGAGGCGATGAAAGGTTGATAGCGATCGATCTTTCGCAGATTTAACCGTGGAAATCCAACTGTACCGAGATCAGAAGAACGAGAAGACCAGGAACCAATGTCGTCGAAGTACCGATGAGACTTAACTGTGCAAATTAACGATCAGAACAGTCTCGATTCCGAAGTCTTCCGTGGTTCTGGAGGTATGTACTTTTCAGCCGTCGAGATTCCAAGTTGGAAATCGAGAAGTCGAATGACCAAGTTTGGCCGCCGCGGTCCGTTTCTAGGCGAACGGGCTCGAAAGTGTAATTCAAACTGCTATTGACTAATCCCGTTCCGCGGCTGGAACGTCACCGCAGAGATCTTATCTCCGGCGTTCCCTCGTGCACCTCCCCGCGGCCGCAAATAAATCACCGCGAGGGATCGAACGAATGCGTAATATCGTTTGATGAAATCTGCTCCACCGACAAATTGCCAGCTTTCGATGGGAATCGTCGGTTGAGTCCAGACTCGATACCGAGAGTCGTCGAAAGGATCAACAGGTTCGCCGCGTAGATCGAACTCCGTCGATATCCGCGAGTTATCTGGACAGGAAGCGTCGGGGAACTCGAAACCTACGATCTTCGAGGGTTCCGTCGACGCTTCGCGCGATTTCTCGATCCCGATCGAAAGGGAAAACCCGTTTCTTTCTGGATGAATCTCGTGAAATTGAATTTTTGGGAATGCAACGAACGATCGAGATTAATAAGTGCCTGGAAACGCTTGGGGCTCGTTGAGTTTTTTTTATTTTGGAATTACCAAAGTTTGGGCGAGATTTTTGTGGACGAGGAAAACACGGTGAGAAACTTTGTAGTATTTATGCAAAAGGCGATCGAGGGTAATGAGATAAGAGCGGGTAAAACGGGTTAACAAAATAGCACAGTGCAAAAAGTTATTACATAAATCGCGAGATCGTATCGAAGGTAAAATAAACGCTGCCTGATGATAAACTATACGATATTGACATATCTGCTGATAACGAGTTATTTATCGCGGACTGGATAACGTAAATCAGTCCGTAATAACGTGTAACGTGAAAGTTGGAAAACATTGATGTAAACGTAGAAAAATCTTTGCCCGTTTCCTTTGCAATAAAAGAAACTATTGTATCAATGATCTAGAATAATTTGTAAAACTGTTCCACGATTTTAGGAAGCTTGCGCTCTTTAAGGAGTGATTCGAAATCTGTCGCCATTTTGCTAAAGATTCGTAAAATATTGTTTCAAGCTATGATATCACGTAACTTAACAACACAGTTATAAACTATCGTTTCAAGATAGCGGCATCGAAATTGAATCGATAACTTCTCGAGTTTAATTACTCTTTCAAGATTTTTTTCATTCAAATAAGGCCAATTCGAAAGCTAGGTCGAGGGTTTCCTTTTAAAATTTGGTGTTTCTTATCGAAGATAAACTCAACGACCAAGTGTTTCGTAAACTATTATATCAATATAATTAAATTTATTTTTTATTAATAGAATTTAATTACTTCCAAAGCAGCGAGACAAAGGCTCTTCCTCGAAATTCAGCGTTTCATATCGTTGGAGATCAATTAGACTTCTATCTAAAGGAGCCTAAACCGTCGTTTCAACATAAACTGTGACGCCAAGCGGAACGGAAGCTTAACTCCGACGTAATTACTTCCCAAACAACGTCAAAGGTTTCCTCTCGGAATTCGGTGTTCCGTATTGAAAATTAACCGAACTATTTAAGGGCTTATAAACTGTCGTTTCAAGATAGTGCCATCGAAACTAAACTCGTAACTTCTCCAATTTAACTACTTCTGGAACAGTGTCAAAGGCTTCTTCTTGGAATTCGGTGTTTCACGCTGAAGATGACCAGCCAAGTGTTCACATCTAACTCTGATTGTAAAACAATGTCAAAAGTCCCTTAAAACATCCAACGCTTCTCAGACGAATTCAACGATGACCCAAGAAGTCGTAAACTCCCATTTCAAGGTTCACCAAAATAAAATCCTCTTTGCGAGGGAGTAAAAGGTTCTTCCTTGAAACCACGAGTCTAATATCGCGATAGATCGATGTACCTGCATTGCATCGTATCAACCTGAATTCTGGATCATTTTCTACAGAACGAAGAACAAAATCTGAGCAGAATAAGCAAAGAATCGAATAGCTTCGAAGACGAGTGCCAAGGTTTTAGCTGTTCCACATTGTCGAGGATCAATTAGGGGTGCACAGACTATAATTTTGAGATAAAGCATCGAGTCCCCGTGTTTGGTCGCGATTATTTTCTACAGAACAAAGAACAAAATCTAAGCAAAATAAGCAAAGAATCGAATAGTTTTGAAGACAAGTGCCAAAGTTTTAGCTGTTCCACGTTGTTGAGGATCAATTAGGGGTGCATAAGCTATAATTTTGAGATAAAGAGCAGCATCGAGTGTTTGGTCGCGATTGCTCCGATTCGATGTTTCCCAACGTTTCCCCTGAAAGGTAGGGTTCCGCGTCGTTGAAGGTCAGCCGCGGAGGAACCCAGGTAATCGGCTGCAGCCGCGTCCAGTCGCCATGAGAACTTTCGTCGATTGTCTTCCCGAAGATCTGCTGGTCCCGTGATTCATCGAGGTCGCCGGTTGAGCGGGTCAGGGACGCCTGTTCCGCGGCTTCGGGTCGGTGTACGTCCAACCTGGATTTCTGCACGATTTAACGCGCGTCGGGGCTTCGAAGACCGGCGAGCGCGTGCAGACGGTTAGCGTCATCCGAGCGACGATAAAGTCGCGCGGGCTCGGAAACGATAAGGAACTTGGCTCCGGTCGATTAATCGGGCGTATTTATCGGTCGATTCTGGGCTCGTTAGGGCGATCGCGCGAACTCTACAGCGTCGGAGGCGCGTACGAGATCCCGCGGATTCGGGATCCGTTTCGAAAGTGAGAACAAGTGCGAAAGTGCCGAGTGTATGCGCGTGTACGTGTACGTGTGCTTGTGTGCTCGCGAGTGTGGTGCGAAGTGTCGAAGTGGAAAGGGAGTGGAAACTATACGAGGAAGAATAGAGGAAGGTTACTGACCGGAGGAACTGTGGAGAACCTCGGTGGTGAGTATTCAGAGAAGAACGTTTCGATGAATCGTAATGTTAAAAAAAAAATATATCAGCTATATCGATGGTAGGAAAAATAACTCGAGATTGACATTTTGTCGTCGATTTAACCCGACGAGTCTCTCGAAGCGGTAAACATTGATCGTTGGAGACGAATGTAGGCAATTAATGACTGGGAAGGGTACTCGATTCGATGATGAAATTGATAATTTCGAAAGCATGAAAATATGGATGATGTATGGTAGACATTACATCATTTTTTAACGAACGATATAATTGCTCCGATATCGTAAAATGCGGTAGATTTTGTTAATTTATTGTTTCCTTTTGCGCAGCAAGAAGAACATAAGAGTTTAAGATTAAAATAGCAGTTGTTCTGATACAGATGTCGTGTGGTCGTTAAGCGTTTGTAATTAAGGCTCTATTCAACTTCATGAAGTATAGTGATCCTATGTCGAGCTGGACTCGACGTGGTATTTCGATCTAAACATATTAGAATTACTTCATCGATATTTGCAACATAAATAACGAGTCGATTTGTGTTTTAACTGTACTGAAAGATAGGAATGGTCTGGAATGTTAAACCCGTAAAGTGTAAAAAAAAGAGGAGGAAAATGTTACATAAGTTGTTCGAGTAATCGGTCGTACCCCAGTTACAGGACACTTTGCATAGTTATTTTTAACATTAAAAAAACAGGTTTACGACTGATCTTAAATCACGAATAATACTAGAACATGAAAATGGGTGAATAGTGGATTTGCTCCGACGAATCGTAAAAGGAGTCTCGGATTAAGGAACGATCGAGGATCGAGAGGGTCAATAAGCGCGCTCCCGTTGATCGAGATGTAATTGAAGGATCGAGAGGATCATCGCGATCGGTGGTCAGAGCGATCGAGATGCGGGTTCGTGGAAGCAAACGAAAAAGAAGAAGCCGACAGCCAGGCGCAATGGAAAGCTCAGCATTATCTGCATCCGTGAGAATAAGAAACGGGTTGTCGTTGATTGACTGCGCGAGCGTGCGGGGCCGCTTCGTTAGAACATTAACTCGGCAATTAAGTGAGCCTGGAGAGTATTACGCCGCACGCTTGAGCTCTTCTATTTTCGAGATTCGATCGCGTCTCGATTAACAGAGTCTCAGGAGTGGCGCGAACGAGTCGTTTCTTTTTTTTCCTTCTTTTCTTTTTTTATCTGCAAAAGCAACCCTGATTGGAGGTATCGTTATCCAGATCGTCCCGAGTTGGAGGAACGCGTTGAATTGCTACTCGAGGAGAATCGTGACGTTAATCGATGAACTTTGGGAGCAACTCGACAACAGTGATTCGAAACTGGAGAGCTATTAAATGCAATCGATATTTTAGCGCGTGTAGTCGAAGGGGAGTGTCTCTCCATACCTAATGGTTTTGCAGATAAATAAAAGGATATTCAGGGACGACAAGGTGTATGGCAGGAAATAGATACTCTGGAAAATCTGGGGGAAAATGAATAGTAAAGTGTTGGGAACGTTTCTGATTAAAGGATCAAAAGTTCGATCTACCCAAAGTGGATGAATGAAAATATTTTCAAATTTTTAAGGACTCTGAAAGCTTAATAACGCATGTTAAAAATTATACAAAAAGCTCGATTTGAATGCAAAATTTTAAAAAACAAGCACGTTCGAGATACGTCTGTTTGGCTCGGGACGGCAGTATAATCATTCTCTCCAACAATAAAACGAGAAGAACATCGGAAACGGTTTGCAAACCGACTGCACCGGCACGACCAACGCGTCCATGAAACCACATCCTGTGGACAGAGACCACGAAAGCGTTCCATGGGGCGAAGATGAGTCAAAAAATTCTCCGAATAGAGGGAATGTTTACAAGCGTTAATAGTTCCATTACATAATTTACTACGACTGCAAACGTTAATTTATTTCCAACTGGGTACGATTAGTCCTCGTTCTTAGGTGAATTATCATACCTATTCTATTAATTTTAAAAAACAATCATAATTTTGGGGCCTTCCAACATTATTATTAACTTCCAAATATGGAAAACCACCTCTATAGAAAAAGAAAGGAGACCATTAATTAGAAAACCAAATTTCAAATCATTAATAGGTGCCTAAATTTTTCGGTGAAAAAAAATTTCAAATCGTTCTGAAAAAATTATTTTCGGCTGCAGAAGTTAATTACAATCATTTTTTTTGAATACATATACCCTCGAAATCCTACGCAGTTTCGAGAAAAAAATTCAGTAATGTAGAAATTTTTCGGCGAAATTAAAAAATTTTTAAATCGTTTTGAAAAAATTATTCTCGGCTGCAGAGGTCAAGTACAATCATTTTTGTTGAATACATATACCCTCGAAATCCTACACAGTTTCGAGAAAAAAATTCAGTAATTTCAGGAATTTTTCGGCGAAATTAAAAAATTTCAAATCGCTCTGAAAAAATTATTTTCTGCTGCAGGGGTTAATTATAATCATTTTGTGTGAATACATATATCCTCGAATTCCTACGCAGTTTCGAGAAAAAAATTCAGTAAGCGCAGAAGTTTTTTGGCGAAATTAAAAAATTTTGAATCGTTTTGAAAAAATTATTTTTATCTATGGGGGTTAAGTACAATCATTTTTGGGAAATAGACGTACCCCCAAAATCCTACTCACTTTCCAGAAAAAAATTCAGCAAGTGCAGAAATTTTTCGGCGAAATTAAAAAATTTCAAATCGTTTTAAAAAAATTATTTTTACCTTTGGGGATCATGTACAATCATTTTTGGTGAATAGACTTACCCCCAAAATACTACTCACTTTCGAGAAAAAAATTTCTTACTGAATTTTATATTTCCAATGAAATTAATCGTGATTTCGTTTTCTGTCTTATTTCCCCTCGTGTTAATTTCTGAAACCTGTTAGTAATAACGCGAATGACACTATGATGGTAGTGGGGCTCGGGAGCACCAGAAAAATGGACCGAAAAACTACATTGAACGTAAGGTCTACTCGTATACCTGGTCTGTGGAGCAACGTTTTACGCAGCGGAGGATAACTGATGGATCGGCGTTGATTGCTCGGCTGGGGTTTATTAACTTCTTCCCGCAACTTCGTTAGAACGGTATCCGCGCAATTAAGCCTCTGTTAGAAACGAGAAAACACTCTATGGTTTTCCTCGCGTGGTTTTCTGTTTGCTGTTTTTGTCCACGAGGCTTACATATCCAGCTGTTATTCTCTTGACGGACGCACAGTGTGCTGGAATTAATTCTCAAGCGTGGCCATTGACAGTTATACCGACAGTTGGGATCGTCTTTCAACCCTTTACGGTCCTTTGAGCTAAACTGGACATAATATTTCAGTATTCATCCTCGAGATCGACTCGATATAGAATTATTCCATCGATATTTTTAATTTTTATTTATTATACGGGTAAAAACCTAGTAGTGTACAAGAGAAAATATAATACTTTTACTGTCGAGATAGAGAATACTGCCTATAGATAAACAATATATAGTATATAATATAGAAATACGCATAGAAAAATAGAAACGTTAATGGCAGAAATTTAATACGATTGAGAATTTAATAGTAAAATATTCGAACACTATTTGAATTTTATTCAACGAATATTTGAAACACCGAAGTGTTTTGGATATTATAGAACCAAATAAGTTCCACTCTTAGAGAAGAAAAGAATATTCTTTTCAAATGTTTCGCTGACAATCAGTCACGAGTAAAAGTGAAAAGATAATTCAATGAAGCATTCGACTCGAATCGAATGAGATCGACGGTGCTCCAGACAGTTCGCTCGCTTTCATCGAAGATAATCTGCGAACGCGTGGAAGAAAGTCGGCGGTAGCATTATGTTTCGCTCGGGATTATTATGAAATTTGTCGAATCATTGTCGCTTAAGACGAGAAAACGTTTCGATCGTTACCGTTTTAGCCACGGTCGTAAAACGCGGACTTTCGTATCCAGTTATTCCTTTCGCACGCATCTGCCGTGGACGGCTGCAAACACGGAACCATTTCACTCTCTACAAGAAGCGTTTTGCTTCGCGTTAGGAGAATCGAACGGAGAAATTTCTCACTCGTGCCCGATCGAAAGCAATTTGTCAACCATTTAGTTATACTACTTTTCCCGTACCTTTTCACCAGAGAAATCGAACGACTATTCGCTCTCCACTTATTCGAATTTCATTTCCTCTCGAAAGTTCGAATTAAAAAAATATGATAATTTTCACCTGTGGACTTGATTTATAAATCTGCAAATAACTAGGAAACAATTCTTTTATTATTTTGGAGAGTAAAATGCAATTTTTATAGCGGGGTGATTTGCAAATTATTTACGTTTAACTAGGAAAAAATTCTTTTATTATTTTGGAGAGTAAAATGCAATTTTTATAGCGGGGTAGTGTGATTTGCAAATTGTTTAGTTTAATTAGGAAAAAATTCTTTTATTAATTTGGAGTGTAAAATGCAATTTTTATAGCGGGGTAGTGTGATTTGCAAATTGTTTACGTTTAACTAGGAAAAAATTCTTTTATTATTTTGGAGAGTAAAATGTAATTTTTATAGCGGGGTGATTTGCAAATTGTTTACGTTTAAAATTTTTTTTCTTTACGCGAAGAAATCCTCGGATCGCGCGACAGGCCCTCCCAATTTGGAGACGGCTGCGACAGAAGGTTGAAAATGGTTCACGAGCACTCGAATTACCGATGTTTGTCGTTCGGTTTGCAGAGAAATGCGTTTACAAAAGGTCCCGTCGTGTCTCTACTTTCCATCGGGTCTTATATGTGCAAAAATTTCAAGTGCGCCGCTTCGAACCGCCGCGATTCCGCTTAAAGCGTTTCGCAAGATCCTCGCGCCTGTTCCGATTTGGAGAACGATTGATCAATATCGGCGTCTGCTGGTACAGAAATAGAGAATCGTCGATGCCGACGCGCGTTCCTTTTCCTTTCGAAACGTTCCCCTCCGTAAAGCTGTCCGACATCTTTTTCAAATCCGTCGACGTAGGCATTTAATT